ACACTTCTACACTGTTGGTGGGAATGCAAGCTGGTTCAACCTCTATGGAAAGCAGTGTGGTGATTCCTGAAAAAAAAATCGACCTTCCCTATTATCTAAGGAAAATTTTGAATGTATAACTGTGTAGAGCTACGCTGTTCAATATAGTAGCCACTGGCCACCTGTGGCTATTTAAATTTAAATTAGCTGAAATTAAATTAAAGTAAAAATTTTCAGTTCCACTCGGCACTAAGTACTTCAAGTGCTCAACAGCCACCATATTGAACAGTACAAATATAGGACATTTGTGTTATTGTGTAAAGTTCTGTTGGACAGTGCTGGGCTAAAGCTGCCTCACCCTAGATCGATGTCTTTTTATTTAGAGTTCACTCAAGCTTTAAATTACCTCTCTTTAAGACTTTATCTGGCTCTAGATAAGTCTATGTGCGCCTGCGTTGTTCAATACAGTGGTCACCGGTGCTTACTGAGCCCAGGAAATGCAACTAGTCTGAATTGAAAAACTCTATAAAATCAACCATACCACCCTGAATTCACTCAATCTCATCTGAAATACTCTATAAGTGTAAAATACACATTGAACTATAAGGCCCCTGTATAAATAAAGAATGTAAAATATAGCATTAATAATTTTTATACTGATAATGTGTTGAAATATTATTTTGGATAGATTGGATTTATTGGTTAAATAAAATGTTTTATTGAAATTACTTTTACATATTCTTTTTTTTTTTAGCTTATTTAATGTTGCCACAAGAACATTTTAAATTGCATGCATCGTTTGCAATATATTTCTGCCAACCAATGACTCTGAAACTCTCACCTTTTCTTTGTCTTTTTCTCTGTATCTGCACTGCCCAATACACAGAAGCCACATGTGGATGTTTCCATTTAAATTAATTTAAATTAAGCAAAATCTAAAATCCAGTACCTCAGTCTCATTAGCCACATTTCAGATGCTCAGTAGCCACATGTGGTTAGTGGCTACAGATTACAGGGTGCAGACGTAGAACGTTCCCATTGTTGCAGAAAGTTCTGTTGGACAGCACTGATATATGACTTGTAGATGGTGCATGGAAGAGCCACACAGGTGGATCGTGACTGCCTAACACTCGGAGAATGTTTCCAGTACCTCACATTCTCCTTCCGTCTCCCCGGTGCCTATGCCTTCCTACTCTGGTTAGACTTGTTTATGCACACCTTATCTTTTCTTCTCTCCTCCTTCAAGGGCTGTAGCATGCTTATCTCTCCCTGAACACACCTTCCACCCACCTCCTGTATGTACACGGTGTCTAACTTGGTGTTTTGTACAATATAAGTTCTCAATAAATATTTGTTAACCAGTTGGAGTGGCAATTCCTAAAAATTGATTGGAAATATGTGGCCAAAGATAGAGGAGGATATATATGGGTAACCCAGGGTGTGGGGGTAGGATCCTAAGGAAGAAGAGGAGCTGGGAGAGGGATAGCAAACAGGAAATCAGAGGAACAGTGGTATCCCTAAATCTCATACACATTACCAAATCCCTCTGCCCACCCCACAGGCTCCTTGCAGGCAGTTACAGATTGCAGGGGAATAGACTGGATAAGGCAACAGCTATATAAAAAGTGTGAAAGAAATCCAAAATATTATTATGTGATAAGTAAACATGCAAGACCCATAGATGAGGAGTTGAAATGGCATGAAAATTAAGGGTCTGGTGAGGAGAAAAATTGAAAAATGTTCTGTACCCGGGCCAGCTGGTGTGAGTTACATTTTATGAGCAGCATGTGAATTCCAGCGCCCTTGTTGAATTAGCAGTAGAATCGCACATTAGTTTTAAGGCTCCCTCTTGAATAGGAACATCACAACGTTTTTTAATTGGAGCTGATAAAAACGTAGCATTACTTGTAGGTTTCTGAGAGAAGTGAGTTGTGAAATTGGGTTTTCATTAAACCTAATGATGGAAAATTAAGTATAGTGCATCTGGTGAAATGGGGTGTGATAGAAGGCATCACTTCTGCATTATCAGAGGTTAATAAGGGAATAGGTGAGGTAAGATACATTGGAAAGGGGAGTCCAACCAGTTGAATTAATAAACCTTGAAAATCCCTTGGTTATGAGTCTTCATAGCATCATTAGCACTGGCATTGAGATTATTACAAATGTTGTGGCAATACAAGTTGTTAAATTTCAAATGCTTTATTTTCCATTCCAGTGTTGGTTTTGCTGACACCGAGTTTACAGTCTGTCTAGCAATGTGTTTAGGGAAAATATCCATATTGGTAGCTATTTGGTTTGGAAACACTTGGCATCTCACAAAAATTGCCAGGTGCTCGTTCCTAGGAAGCCTATCTTTGCCAGGCAGTTGGTCTCTCATACAGCCCCTGCCCTATGTCCTTTGGGAGACTGTGGTCTCTGATGACATCTGTCCCCACGTGTGATGGTGACTTAGTTGGGAAACACTTGCAAGGGTTCAGGCATTTACTTGGCTCATTCTCTCTTAGGAATCATGAAGTATGGCATACAGAGAATCAAGCTTGAGTACTCCCTTCCTCTCTACGCCCACCCCCACCACACACAAGAGTGAGATCCACTGGAAGGGTGCCTCACATCTGTGACAGCTGAGTCACCTACAAGACATAGCATGCATCACTGAAGAAAGGGATTCCCCTTAAAAACCCTCAACAGCTTCATACTGGCTCCAAGAGTCCTAGGCATTCACAGCCTTTCTGGATCTGCCTTGCATCATCTTTTAGGATGTTGCCCATGACATTTCTACCCATAGCTTTTACTCCTTGTCAGCCTCTTTGCTCTGACCTAAATGTGTTTTCACCTCTCAGGCTCTTTTCTTTTTCTTCAGATGGTTGGTCTTGTCTGTTTTTCCTATCAAACCCTCAGGTACTAAGAATGGAATCTGTATTTCTCTCTACATTTCCATTGCCTACCAGAGTTTTTGGCACAGAATGGGTTTCAGTAAATCTAACTCCTGAAACCAAGAGAATGGCAGGGAAAGGAATCAAGCCCCACATTTGCTAAGGACTACATTTAAGCAATGCCAATGAAGGTGTATCTGCCTGTTACCTAAAATCCCAGAGGAAAAGTAAGCAGTACTTCTCTTATGTGTAGTCAAGATAGTTTTGTTAGTATCTTGCCTAGGCCCTTCTTCCTTGTGCATAAGTCTATGTCTTTGAGATCTTTCTGTTGGCAATTCTAGAGTGATTGGGCTGGTCCCAAAGAGTCCAGTGCCTGCTACCTTGGTGATGTTCTTCTACCACATTGAAGCAAGAATTTGTAGAGACCACACCTGTATATACAATGCCTCAATTTCAGACTAGTCAAATGAGTAGCCCTTACTTCTTTGGAGGAGCTAATAAGTGCGGGGGTAGGATGGATGGAAAGTGAGAAATATAAACCCCACTTCACCCACAGACATAGGTGAAAGCATTAGGGTGACCAACCACCTCCATTTGCCCATAACTAAGGGGGTTCCCAGGATGCTGGACTTTCAGTGTTAAAACCAGAAAAGTGTCAGAAAAACTGGGACAAGTTGGTCACCTAGAAAGCATGCAGGCCAGATGGTCCCTTCCACTATCCTTTCCTTGCCAGGAACAGACTTGCTGATACTGTCACAGAGAAGTAGAGTATACGCTCACACGTAGAATCCATGTCTAATGGATTGTTGTGACATGACAGGCAAACAAGCTGAAGGGAATATGGATTTTGAAAAGGCAAGTTGTGGAAAATCAAGAATATAAGCTAAACCTCCCAGGGAACGAGTATGGCATAGGTCAAGTGAGTCTCTGCCCTGCTGCTTTGCAGTGTCTGAAAACACCTGGGGTAGACACATCAACTTTCACCCATCTGACAGTTCTCATCTTGTGCATGCCACAAACAAGATGGTTCAGGGCACAGACTGCCCATGTCTTTAGGGGGAGGTTAGGGAGACAAGCAAGCCTAGATGGTTCTGGGGAAGAGAAACTGACCCTGAAAGACTAATAATATATGCCTGGCAGGGAGGTTGCAGGACAAGACTTTGGTTTTACTAGTCCAAGAGGGACAGAAGAATTCAAACCCAATCTGAGCAGGCATATGTTTCCAGGGTGGCCAAACTAACAGAAGACAATTAAGACAACTCATTGGGTGCAAAGATTCTTATCAGGATAGAATGTAGATCTTATATCAAGCAGGAATTTTTGTGAAGGAGATAGTGCATAGGATCCAGGTCTGGGGGACGTAACTGGCAGGACTGAACGACAAGGTTCAGGCCTCCCTACCTACAACATGGGTTCAACATGCTACTGGATCAGTAGTATTAAGTGGAGAGAAAACTATATGATAGAAGAAGGTGGTCACTGTTGCAGAGGAAATAGCTGAAGAGAGCAGCTGGAAGGGTCAGGGGCCCTGCTAGCTGCTGGGGTCCAGGACTGGCTCCAGTTCCTTCTAGTGTACAACCCAAAAGAAAGAAACTAATAGAGAAAGCAGGTCACAGGGATGCAGCTCAATGGGCCAGAAGCAGACACCAGAAGCAGATTGTGGCTCCGATCTCTGGGCACCTGAGGCTGTCCTCACCTACAGACAGGCATCAGAGACTATTTCTAGCCACCCTGCTTCCTAAATGGGGTGGGGGTGGAGTGTCCCAATATGTAGCCTGTCTGGGTTCTCAGTGGTTCTGGGATTGGCCAGAATTGGCCAAGATTGCCATGACAAGCCTGGAGGAAGGACTTGGACAAGCAAGGGATGACAAGCAATCTGGAACTTTGTCTATATCAATATGCGCCCTTGAAATTGCAATGAACTGAGATTATTGTGTTCGTTGGTTTCTTTGTTATTTTGATAGTTAAATCTACTAACACAGCCATGCCAGGGAAGCAGTGTGTCACTAGTCTTTCTGCAGTTTGCTGGTCAACCGAGTCCCAAAAGTTGGTTCCCTCTGCCCTCCTGAGACCAAGTCAGGGGAGGCAGGGAGGACTAGGACAAAGCTCTGGTAAGTAATGATCTCTTGTGCTTCCTTCTCTCTGAAGCAGATGGCAGCCGTGGGGAGCTCTCCCAGCCTACCCTCACAATCCAGACTCACCCATACCGGACCTGCGACCCTGTGGAGATGAGCTACCCCCGAGACCAGTTCCAGCCTGCCATCAGGGTGGCTGACTTGTTGCAGCACATCACCCAGATGAAGAGAGGCCAGGGCTACGGATTCAAGGAGGAATATGAGGTAAGAGACCTGCCAGTGGGAACCTTCCTGGTAGACTCACCGGCTTATTTGAGTGCTAAAGCCTTACTACTAAAAGCATGGCCTCCTGACCCGCAGCATCTCAGGCCTTGCCCAGCGCTACTGAATCAGAACCTGCATTTTAACCAGAATCTTTGGTGATTTGCATACATATTGAGGGGCTCCATGTTAAATGATTCTAAGACCCCCTTTCCCCCCTCTTACTCCTTCCTCCCCCTCTTATAATAAGTTATCTCCAAACTTTCTACACTTTAGAGTGACACCTTCCTTCAATATGAAGGTAGAATGACTCAGGCCCCCATTCCACATACTGTAGAAAAGCCAGCCCATCACCTCTGCCAATGATTTCTGTCAAGCTGCTTGCTTCTAGTCACTTCTTGCCCCATATTCAAACTTTTGTGGTATGCTCACCATGCACCCAGAGGCAGTGCTTCATCCCAGATGACTACTGTCCCCTCTCTGCACCTTCTCCTCACCCTGGTATTGGGCATCCCTTTCCTTCCTCCCAAAGCATCTCTAACACAAAGGCTCTGTAGATCTTGGTTGTTACTGAGGTTTGAGGAATAACAGAGGAGGCTTGCAAAAAAAATATAGGAAGTATCTCAATACATCACTGTTGTTCTTTTTTTTTTTGAGTTGGAGTCTCACTCTGTCACCCAGACTGGAGTGCAGTGGCCACTCCGAACAACTGCAGCCTCGACCTGCTGGGCTCCGGCGATCCTTCTGCCTCAGCCTTCCAAGTAGCTGGAAATACAGGCGCAAGCTACCACGCCCAGCTAATTATTATTATTATTTTTATTTATTGTGGAGATGAGGTCTCGCCAAGTTGCTCAGACAGGTCTCGAACCTGCGGGCTCAGGCAGTCCACTCACCTCAACCTCCCAAAGTGCGGAATTACAAGCTGTTGTTCTTTTTTTTTTTGAGTTGGAGTCTCACTGTCGCCCAGACTGGAGGGCAGTGGCACGCTCACGGCCGCCGCAGCCTCGACCTGCTGGGCTCCGGCAATCCTTCCGCCTCAGCCTTCCAAGTAACTGGAACTACAGTAGCACGCTGCCACGCCCGGCTAATTTTTGATTTATTGTAGAGATGATGTCTCGCCAAGTTGCCCAGGCGGGTCTCGAAGGGCTCAGGCTATCCACTCTCCTCAGCCTCCCAAAGGCGCAGGATTATAGGCTGAGCCACCGAGCCCAGCTTAAAAGATTCTTAACCATCCACATTGCTGGTAAACTCTTCTAAATTTCTGGTCTCTCAGTAGGTTTCTGCCCATTCCCTTCTTGTTTTTTTTTTTTTTTAGTGTCCTCAAAACTTCCTCCTCCCACTCACCCCTCAGCGCCCAAGAAAAGAATGCCACATTCTTCCTTTCTTTATTATGTAGAACAATTTAACTTTCTTTGTCTCACTCCTTTTGTTTCAAATCTTGCCCATCAAGCTCACCTTTTACACACTAAAAGTAAAATGAAATAGAAGGAAAATGCATTAAGATATTTTCCTGAGCCTAATGCAACTCACTCCTCAGGGTAATTCTGCAACTCTCCAGATGAAGGCTGAATCCTGCTGCAGCCAGCTTTAAAAACAAGCATTTCTTTCCTCACTTTTCGTTTTGTCTCTCTCACCCTCTCCTCCTTCCTTCCCAAAATATCTTTTGAGCATCTTCTGTGTGCCACGCGCTGAGTTATATGCACTCATTTTTTGTTGTTTGTTTCTTTTTTTTCCTCCACATGCAGCGTGTGCCCCAGATATGCTCAATTCGGTTTCACTGTGTGCAGTGAAAACTCATTGGCTCAGACGCCACACATTTGGAATTCTTGATAATGCAGACTAAGTTTATCCCTCAGACTGTCTTCTGAGAAAGAGCTTACAAAGCAATATTTCAGAAGTCGTATGAGGTCATGAAATTGTGCTAAACTTGGGGTCCAGACAGCTGGATGCCAATTCAGTAAACTGTGTGATCTTAGCAGATCATTTTGTTATCTGAGTTTTAAAATTCATTATTAGTTGAATGAAGAGTTTGGATAAGGTGATTTCTAAGGATCTGTCTGGCCCCAAAACGTTATGAGAGTATAAAACATAGTGACAAGGGGCATGTTTGACATATTTATGAGAATAAAAACATTTATGTCAATGGATGTAATTACCAGCTTGAGAGAACTAGCAGTTAATTTCAAAAATGGTCTAAATAAAATAGCATTCTTCATATGCTCAGTCTACGGATTTTGGAAGAATATTGGAATCAGAGTTGAAGAAAATGAGCTCATCACCTCCCAACCCTGAATCTCATTTTCTAGGGGATTGAGTGGTCCTAGCCCTGGGGCTCAGGGTGCCCATAAACATGTTTGTACTCATGTGTGCAGATCTGTTTGCTGAGCAAATGTCAGGAAGGGTATGTTGTTTGTAAAAGCATATTCAATATCAGGGTGATTTAATAAGCCATTAATCATCATTTGTTTAAAAGGTTTTTTTTTTCGATTTCAGTGCTTTTATTTATTTTTACTATTATTTTAAAGTTGTGGGGTATAAGTCAGGACGGGGTTCATAAGTGGTTTAGGTACAGGTGAAGTTTGGGGTCTCCCATTGGACCTCACTTCGCCTGGATTAGGGTGCCCCCTTCCCATTATGGGAGATATGTGGCTTATCAGAAAGGGGACAAGAAGCCAAAGGTTGAGAAACATATATTCTAAGAACAAAAATTCAAAGACATAAATATAAATGCATTTGACTACTTTGTTGCATTTTCTCCCAAATTGTTATTTCTTTTAAAAGCATTCATCCCTGTGTGGTGAATTGCTTTTTAAAATTTTTTTTCTTTATAGCTTTTTGCATTTTCCAAACTTTCTAGCATAGAATGCCTTTTTAATGAGAGAGCAAACAATACATATTATCCCATCATTTGAACCTCAACCAGAAATATTTCTAACCAGGCTAACCTTGCCCTCAATTAGTTCAGATTCTATTAATCAGTAAGCAAGAAGGCTTAGCTTCTAGCTAACATCAATTTCTGATTAGCCGAGGGTTAATTAAAAATGTTACTTAATGAAAGTCTTTCCACCATGTGCTAGTTCATTTTCCTAGAATATGTAATGGATATTGCTTTGATCATTAAGGATCCTGCGATATCTAGAACCTTCTTCCTGAGCATAAGAGTCACAGATCTGCTTAAAGACTCGGTGCAGACAAGACTCCTGAACCTCCAGTCACACTCTCATTCCAACCTTCTCTGTGCAGTTTGTTGCCTGCCACTTCCCTGTCCTGTCAGTTTTTTCATACAAATGAGTGGGTTTGACAAGTTGACATCTAAGGGACCTCTCAGCTATACAAGCTGTGTCTTCTAAAATTCACACTCAGTTGTACAATCACATAAATTTGGTCAGTAAACATTTACTCGGTATTTACATTGCCAAAAACTATTCTAGATATTTGGGATACAACAGTGAACAAAACAAAGATTCATGCCCTTGTGAAGCTTGTATTCTAACAGGGGAAATAGGAAATAAACATAGGCTTAAAATAAGCAAATTATATAATGTAGTAGGTTAGACCATGAAAAATACTGTTTGCTGTATTACAAACTACCCCAAATCTTTTTTTTTCATATGTTTTAAATTATGTCATCTGCCTTTTCCTTATTTTTTTTTTTTAAATTTTAAAGTTGTGGGGTACAATTCAGGTATATAAGTGGTCATCGTACAGATAAAGTTTGGGACTACCCCAAATCTTAACAACACAAAACAACCAATTTCTTGCACTTACTGACTCTGTGGATCAGGAATTTGGATGAAACACAACAGGGGCAATCTATCTTTTCTCCATGGTGTTCAAAGCCTCCACTGGGAAGGTTCCAAGATGGAGGCTGAAATCATCTGAAAGTATCTTCACTCACATGTCTAGTGATTGATGCAGGCTGTCAGCTGGGACCTCAGCAGGGATTGTCCACTGGAACACCTACACATGGCCTCTTCAGGTAGCCTGGGTTTCCTGACAGCATGGTAGCCTTCCGTAGTAGGATTTTTTACATGGTGCCTCAGAGGTCCAAAGGTGAGCTTCCCAGCTAGCAAGGTGAGAATTGCATCACCTTTGTGGCCTAGACTTGGACATCATACCGTATTATTTCTATCACTTTCTGTTGGTTATAAGCAAGTAAAAACTGCCCACATTCTAAGAGAGGTAAATTAGACTCCATCCCTTGATGAGGAGGAGGGGCAGTTACCAGATTTTAGAAGAGCATGCAGAACAAGAAGTATTGGAAAATACTATCTTTGGATAATACAATCTGCCACAAGTACCAAGGAAAAAGAAAGAATGGAGCAAGAAAGGGAGATGTTTTCCAGGGACATAGATGGAGGAGTTTCCCAGATTAAATAGGATAAAAGGGTAATCATTAATTAGATGATGAAATTTGAATATAGACGTGGTGAAAGATATGTGAAGGAAGAGTGTTCCAGATCCAGGGAGTAAGACATCTGGCATGTATAAGCAGGAGGAAAGAGGCCGAGGTGGCAGAAGTAGAATGAGCAAGGGGTAAAAAGTAATAGGAGATTAGGTTGGAGAAATAAAGAAGGACCTGACCATACAGTGCATTATAAGACACTATAAGGACTTTGGCTTATGACCTTAGTTTATTTTGAAAGATTTGTGTTAGCTTCTGTGTTGAGAATGGGACATAGGGAAGCAAGAGTGAAAGCAAGATCAGTTAAGAGGCCATTGCAGTAACCTGGGTGACAGATAAGGGTGACTCGGTGCAGCAGAGGAGGTAGCCAGAGTGGTAGGATTCCGAATATATTTTTCAAATAGAGCCAAGAGGATTTCCTAACCCATGGCATGTGAGAGAAATAGAGGAATTAAGGGTGACTCCAAAGCTGGTATCTGAGCCACTGGAAGGATGGAGCTGCCACCGGTGGAGATGGGGAAGCTTCAGCTATAGCAGAGATGGAGCAATCAGTCAGGTTAACAAAGTTGAACTGGGTTAGCAATGTCTGTTAGACATT